CCTTTTTCCCTCGTTTACATCATAAAAAGTAGTCTTATGTGTTATCCCCCCTTATCTTGTCACTGTCATGGGGGGGAAATTTTTTTTTTCTTGTTCAAGGGAAACAATATTATTACATCTTTTTCTTCTTCCTCCTCCTTTCTCCTCCTCTTCTCCTCCTCTTCTCCTCCTCTTCTCCTCCTCCTCCTCCTCTTCTCCTCCTCTTCTCCTCCTCCTCCTCTTCCTCCTCTTCTCCTCCTTCCTCCCCCTTCCTCCCTCCCCCCCCCCTCCTCCCCCATTGCTTTTGGTCTCAAACTCCCCCAAAAATCATGAAATTTGATCTTCACTGACACTTCCATCTGTGTTAGAGCATCACTTGGGAAGAGAAGAGTCCCAGATTTGCTGGGAAATCACATATTTCTTACCGCTAGACATGCTGAAAATGGACAACTGAAATGGCATTCCCACAATGCACCACTGGCTCTCCGATTTTTTTTATATGGTGCACACTGACCATGGAGACCCATTCTCTCACATGTGGGCCTACCAGCTTTCTCCTGCTTGATTTGAAGCTGCTAGAATTTATGCATATAAATACGTCAGAAACATTGGCTCATAAGAGGTATTTATACATCAGAAACAGTCAAAGGGTTAATTAATCATTGAATTGATGAGGGAAAAAAGGTGAGTGGTATGTTGAGGTATATGTGGAGTCAAAAAACGTTATCTATGGAGGCAAAGAAGGGAATGTATGAAAGTATAGTAGTACCAACACTCTTATATGGATGTGAAGCTTGGGAGGTAAATGCAGCAGTGAGGAGACGGTTGGAGGCAGTGGAGATGTCCTGTTTAAGGGCAATGTGTGGTGTAAATATTATGCAGAAAATTCGGAGTGTGGAAATTAGGAAAAGGTGTGGAGTTTATAAAAATATTAGTCAGAGGGCAGAAGAGGGGTTGTTGAGGTGGTTTGGTCATTTAGAGAGAATGGATCAAAGAAGAATGACATGGAAAGCATATAAATCTATGGGGAAGGAAGGCGGGGCAGGGGTCGTCCTCGAAAGGGTTGGATAGAGGGGGGGTAAAGGAGGTTTTGTGGGCGAGGGCTTGGACTTCCAGCAAGCGTGCGTGAGCGTGTAGATAGGAGTGAATGGAGACGAATGGTACTTTGGACCTGACGATCTGTTGGAGTGTGAGCAGGGTAATGTTTAGTGAAGGGATTCAGGGGAAAACCCGGGTTATTTTCATATAGTCGGACTTGAGTCCTTGAAATGGGAAGTACAATGCCTGCACTTTAAAGGAGGGGTTTGGAATATTGGCAGTTTGGAGGGATATGTTGTGTATCTTTATACGTACGTGTATATGCTTCTAAACTGTTGTATTCTGAGCACCTCTGCAAAAACAGTGATAATGTGTGAGTGTGGTGAAAGTGTTGAATGATGATGAAAGTATTTTCTTTTTGGGGATTTTCTTTCTTTTTTGGGTCACCCTGCCTCGGTGGGAGACGGCCGACTTGTTAAAAAAAAAAAAAAAAAATTTACCTTATGCAGACTACTGCATTATTGTAATAATTGTATAAATAATGTCAACCCATCCTTGACTGCGTATTGGAATTTGGATTGGCAGGTGGACAGGTATTGGACGGTGATGTCATTTGTTTACTCTTGAACATCACTAAAAAAATAGAACATTTCCGCTACTTTGAACTCAATTTCAGGGTACTTTTCATCATGAAAGCAATCAAAATCGTCTCTATTTCTGTAATATATCTTCCACTCTATCAAATGAGACCAAAAAACGAGAATACAACCATAAAAACCGTATGAAAATATACCGCTATGGGGCTGCTAATGGCTGAGAAGTGAACTCTGTTATCGTTGTCAAGAAGCGTCTTTCCATCATACATTGCCCAAGTTTCAATAAGACAGCCCAACAAACAACTGAGTGAAATAATAATAATAATAATAATAATAATAATAATAATAATAATAATAATAATAATTATAGGTAGTAGGTTGGTAGACAGCAACCGCCCAGGGAGGTACTACCGTCCTGCCAAGTGAGTGTAAAACGAAAGCCTGTAATTGTTTTACATGATGGTAGGATTGTGGTGTCCTTTTTTTCTGTCTCATGAACATGCAAGATTTCGGGTACGTCTTGCTACTTCTACTTACACTTAGGTCACATACACATACATGTACAAGCACATATATAAAACCCCCTCTGGGTTTTCTTCTATTTTCTTTCTAGTTCTTATTCTTGTTTATTTCCTCTTATCTCCATGGGGAAGTGGAACAGAATTCTTCCTCTGTAAGCCATGCGTGTTGTAAGAGGCGACTAAAATGCCGGGAGCAAGGGCTAGTAACTTTCTCCTGTATATATTACTAAATGTAAAAGGAGAAACTTTCGTTTTTCCTTTTGGGCCACCCTGCCTCGGTGGGATACGACCGGTGTGTTGAAAGAAAGAATAATAATAGTCTTTATATACTACAAGTACATGCACATGGTATACAGTGTATATAGTACAGTATGATGATTTCATGATATAAATGGGTTTTTAGTTTGAGTAGGTGCAGAATACTAAAGGATGAAAGGAGAATGTTAAAGTAATTTAGGTTTTATTGTGTATTGTGTGATCCAGTACATTGGCTTGCTACCAAAGTTAGTGTGCCCTTATTTCTTAAGTGTATGCAAGGTTTTATTAACCTAGTATTTATGTTAGGTTGTACTGATCATTCCTTATGTTTACTTGAGATTTTAGGACTCTCCTGCCATGGGTTCAAGCTACATCCGATCTGTGATAGTTTAATTGCCGAGTTGAGTCATACAATTATGGCAGAAGCAAAGAACCATTAGTTGCAAAAATCATTTTTTCCTGTGACATTACATTATTTTATTTAAAAAGTCATTAATTAACCTCAACCTATGCTTTAGCTTTGCCAGATAGATGACCAGACACGAGGAACTCTTCCTCCTCATGTATTCCCGCTGATGGTGGTGCACTTCTTGCAACAACACCAGCCTCCTGTTCTCCCAGTTCTTCATGAGCTACACCCAAACCCTGATGGAGATGTTTACTTACGTAAGTATACATTGTCCGTAATTCTACCAATGTTAATACAATGTGTGATGTGTTTCTGCATGTACTGATATATTTACCATGAGGTAACTTTGAGGTATTCTTTAGGGTGCTTTTCATGGTTTTATTAACAACTTAATAGTACCAATAGATTGACAGGAAAACATGCTAGAAGTAGCCTGAAATAGGCATCAGATTGGCAAGAAATGATTGATTTTGGGCATTATATCTGGAGAGAGAAAGGGACCTCCTCACCCTATTGTATGGGTTTTTACAAAGCCTGTTTTAATTATTGGGATGACCTAAACCACAACCAAGCATTCTTGGTTATGGTTTTTAGTTAAGGACGAAGGATCAGAAATGGAGGGCAAGTGTTATATAGGAGAGGCCTGGAGATATGATTAATGAAAAGAGGAAGGTTGCTTTAACCCCTTGACTGTCGCAACCCCAAATCCTGATGTCTCCCGGTGTTACAAAATTAAAAAAAAAAAAATTATTTTTTCTTGTGAAATGATAGAGAATATTTTTCCGATTGTAATGATACCAAAAGAACAAAATTTGATGGAAAACTGACGGAATTATGCTCTCACGAAGTTAGCAACCTTGGCGATATTTATGAATCGGCAATTCCGCCCACTTTGAGCCCTATTTTCGGGTAATTCCATTGTTCCAGTCAACCAAACTCATGGCTATTTCTTTAGAACTCCATTTTTCTATCGATTGAGTACAAGAAACTGCCCATTTACTTATTTGAACTACCCAATAACGTGGTCAGAAATTTGCAATTTGGCCAGTTTCACGAAAATTAAAAAATATGACAATTTCAAAATAGGGTTCAGAATGAACAATGCAGACATTCCTGGCTCTAAAATAACATATTTTTTGTTTGTCAGTCACATCTCCAGGCCCCTCTGATATTACTCTTGCTTTCTGTTTTGAATTTTTATTCAAACAAAAAATAGAAGATTTACTGTTATGCAGACTACTGCAATATTGTAATAATTGTATAAATAATGTCAACCCATTCATGGCTGCATATTAGAATGGCTACCTGGACATTTATTGGAAAATGACATCATTTGTTTACTTTTGAACATTGGCAAAAATCAAACATTTTGGCAAAAATCAAACATTTCCCCTACTTTGAGCTCCATTTCAAGGCTCTTTTCATAGTAAAACCAATCAAAATCACCTCTATTTCTATAATATGTTTTCTGTTCTATCAAATGAGACCAATAAAGTGAGAATACAACCATAAATACTATACGAAAATGGACCACAAAATCGGCATTTTAATTAAAGAACGGTCGGAGTTTTTTTTTTCTCGTTATGCACTGTGTGCTGCAGGATTTTTTTTATATGGTGCACACTGACCACACAGACCCATTCTCTCACATGTGGGCCTACCAACTTTCTCCTGCTTGATTTGAAGCTTCTAGAATTCATGAGTATATATACTTCAAAAATGGTGGCTCGTAAGACGTATATATACGACCAAAACAGTCAAAGGGTTAATGGCTGGAATGCTTACAGTTTTTGTTTTGGACTGTTGAAAATAGTCCAAAATTGGCTGAATTACTGAATTTTCGGGTCTTAATAGGATTGTGATGATGGTTATATGGGCAATTTCTTGCAATCAGTGGATAGTATGAAAAGTATAGTAGTGAAATAGCAAGGAATTTGGTTAGCTTGAGCATTGGATTGGCTTGAGCTGTTGCTTACAGTGCTCCTTGACCTCCAACATTTCATGTAACACTTAAAGATTTATGAGGCATTACGTAGAATGAAAGGGGGTAAAGCAGCTGGAACTGATGGGATCATGACAGAAATGTTAAAAGCAGGGGGGGATATAGTGTTGGAGTGGTTGGTACTTTTGTTTAATAAATGTATGAAAGGGGGGAAGGTACCTAGGGATTGGCGGAGAGCATGTATAGTCCCTTTATATAAAGGGAAAGGGGACAAAAGAGATTGTAAAAATTATAGAGGAATAAGCTTACTGAGTATACCAGGAAAAGTATACGGTAGGGTTGTAATTGAAAGAATTAGAGGTAAGACAGAATGTAGGATTGCGGATAAGCAGGGAGGCTTCAGAGTGGGTAGTGGATGTGTAGATCAAGTGTTTACATTGAAGCATATATGTGAACAGTATTTAGATAAAGGTAGGGAAGTTTTTATTGCATTTATGGATTTAGAAAAGGCATATGATAGAGTGGATAGAGGAGCAATGTGGCAGATGTTGCAAGTATATGGAATAGGTGGTAAGTTACTAAATGCTGTTAAGAGTTTTTATGAGGATAGTGAGGCTCAGGTTAGGGTGTGTAGAAGAGAGGGAAAATACTTCCCGGTAAAAGTAGGTCTTAGACAGGGATGTGTAATGTCACCATGGTTGTTTAATATATTTATAGATGGGGTTGTAAAAGAAGTAAATGCTAGGGTGTTCGGGAGAGGGGTGGGGCTAAATTATGGGGAATCAAATTCAAAATGGGAATTGACACAGTTACTTTTTGCTGATGATACTGTGCTTATGGGAGATTCTAAAGAAAAATTGCAAAGGTTAGTGGATGAGTTTGAGAATGTGTGTAAAGGTAGAAAGTTGAAAGTGAACATAGAAAAGAGTAAGGTGATGAGGGTATCAAATGATTTAGATAAAGAAAAATTGGATATCAAATTGGGAGGAGGAGTATGGAAGAAGTGAATGTTTTCAGATACTTGGGAGTTGACGTGTCGGCGGATGGATTTATGAAGGATGAGGTTAATCATAGAATTGATGAGGGAAAAAAGGTGAGTGGTGCGTTGAGGTATATGTGGAGTCAAAAAATGTTATCTGTGGAGGCAAAGAAGGGAATGTATGAAAGTATAGTAGTACCAACACTCTTATACGGATGTGAAGCTTGGGTGGTAAATGCAGCAGCGAGGAGACGGTTGGAGGCAGTGGAGATGTCCTGTCTAAGGGCATTGTGTGGTGTAAATATTATGCAGAAAATTCCGAGTGTGGAAATTAGGAGAAGGTGTGGAGTTAATAAAAGCATTAGTCAGAGGGCAGAAGAGGGGTTGTTGAGGTGGTTTGGTCATTTAGAGAGAATGGATCAAAGTAGAATGACATGGAAAGCATATAAATCTATAGGGGAAGGAAGGAGGGGTAGGGGTCGTCCTCGAAAGGGTTGGAAAGAGGGGGTAAAGGAGGTTTTGTGGGCGAGGGGCTTGGACTTCCAGCAAGCGTGCATGAGCGTGTTAGATAGGAGTGAATGGAGACGAATGATATTTGGGACCTGACGATCTGTTGGAGTGTGAGCTGGGTAATATTTAGTGAAGGGATTCAGGGAAACCGGTTATTTTCATATAGTCGGACTTGAGTCCTGGAAATGGGAAGTACAATGCCTGCACTTTAAAGGAGGGGTTTGGGATATTGGCAGTTTGGAGGGATATGTTGTGTATCTTTATACGTATATGCTTCTAAACTGTTGTATTCTGAGCACCTCTGCAAAAACAGTGATAATGTGTGAGTGTGGTGAAAGTGTTGAATGATGATGAAAGTATTTTCTTTTTGGGATTTTCTTTCTTTTTTGCGTCACCCTGCCTTGGTGGGAGACGGCCGACTTTTTTAAAAAAAAAAAAAAATTCTTTTAAGTATTACAGTAGGGCCCCACTTTATGGCGGGAAAGGGTTCCGGCTGTGCCGGAAAAGAGACATCCCCGGGGAAGGCAGAACGCCATTTTTTCCATTTATAAATGCATTAAATGCAGACAACAAGTTTACACAAAATTATTTTAAAATTAGTATAGAACTAGGCATTAAAAACAAAAGTAAAATAATTCCAAACATTCTTTACTTCCCTGTAGGGGGGGGTTGAGAAAGTGGACCCCCGCATAACGATTTTAATCCGTGCAAGAGGGGTAATTGTTAGCAAAATAATCGGTATTGAATGAATTTTTTCCCCATAAAAAAAAATGGAAAAAAAATTAATCCTGCAAGACCCCAAAAGTATAAAAAAAAAAAAAATTTTTACCACATAAATTTTAAATTTTTAATACCCACAAACTGAAAAAGGCATGCACACTTACATGACACTTACTTTTATTGAAGATCTTGTTTTGATGGGGGGGGGAGGGGGGGAGAGAGATGTTATTTTTGAGGGGAACCCCCTTTCCCATAAGACTTGGGGTGTCGAGCCCTTTTTCTGGGGTTACTTCCCTTCTTCTTTTAATCCCTCTAGGCCCCGCTCAAGTACTGGACTTCTTTCGCACAACTACTGTCCATAGGGCCGTTCTCTCGTTCCTTTATGCTTCCCTAAAGTGTTTCACAAAAATTGTCAGTGTAATATACCAGCACGGTTTGAAATAGCTGTGTGGGGGATTTTCATCAAAAAGGTTTGCATTTCAACCCACTTTGCCACATTTCCAAATCTTTGTAGTAGGCAACTTCTTCAATTTCTCTTCCCCCCCTTTGCCCAGTTTCCTAGGTCGGCCTCTTGCTTTTGAATTTGATCTTCAGTCATCGTGGTTATTTTCTTCATTGTCCTCCTCCCCAAACTTTTCCCAAACATCCCCACAAACCCCCCAACCCCCAAAGGGATTTTTCCCAATGCCACATGGATTCCCAACTGGCATAATCCTTCAGGGTTACCCCAAAACCCTTCAAAACCCCTTTTGTCTACACTTTTGGCCACAGTTTCTTCCAAGCAGAGTTCAAGGTCTTTTAGTACCCCCTCCCAACCCTTCCCTATAAGGTTTACAAATGGGTAAAAAAGTGCTTCTCCAAAACTCTCTTAAGTCTTGAGTTTTTGAGGGCATACAAAGCACCCTTTTAAAAAGCTTTTGTGTACGTTTTTTGAAGTTTCAATAACCGCTGGTCCAGGGCTGCAGGGGGAGTGGTATTGGAGGCAAAAACTTCACCTTATGAAGCCATGTCCCCCTAAAGTCCTCTGCCAGTCTGTAGGAGACCAGGGGGATTTCTAACACCCGGAGGGACTTTAAATTCAATTTTTTTTCATTAGGTAAACTTTC